AAGTGAAGAGTACCAATCCGAGGTAGAAATGCCAGCCTTCTTCAGCAGATAGCTGAATTGTGGTCCACAATCTCACCCTGGAACCTGAATTGGACTATCTTCAGAAGACCCAGAAGTAAACTTCCAGCTCACTCCTAACGAACTCATCAAAGACCTCCGTTATCTACCGCATCAGCACCCTTGTTCAGCAATCGAAGCCAATGCAAGTAATCGTTTACAATTATTTAGATGCGTGTTTAAGTTTCAGCCCCTTTTAATGGGGAGCCGTATGCGATGGCAGACCAGTCTTCGGGATGTGGTCAGAAACGGAGAAGTTGTGGCACATAAACTGTCTGGAGCTCCGTCCTATACACCTAGCACTCGAGTGCGTTCTCCCAGACATTCTCCACAGTCATGTTCTCATCAGCATGCACAGCATGACAGTGGTAGCGTTTATAAATCACCAAGGGGGCGTGAGCTCGCGGCCGCTGCTGCGGCTGGCGTGAGACCTTCTTCTGTGGGCAGATCGACACCCCCTCTTCATCCGGGCTGTACATGTCCCCGGACGCCTGAATTACGGCGAGGATTTACTGTTGAGGGGCGGGGTAATCCACGGGGAGTGGAGATTACATCCTTTGACAAGTATGCTTTTCCTCCAGTGAAACTTCTGCCTCGCATGCTTTGCAAAATCAGAGAGGAAAGGGAATCTGTTCTGTTAGTGGCACCGAAATGGCCCAATCAGCCATGGTTCCCAGAACTGGTGGAGATGCTAGAAGCCCTCCGTAGACTATCCCGCTGAAGAGAGACCTCTTCTCTCAAGCACAGTTAACAATATAGCATCCAAATCCAGAGTCATGGAGCCTTCATGTCTGGCCACTTGACGGAGCTTGCCATTAACAGATGCACTTCTTCAGCGCGTGTTGAACACTATCGCTGAGGCTAGGGCTCCTTCCACTAGACGTCTTTACGCACATAAATGAAGAGTTTTCACAAATTCAACTACCCAATACCAATAATTCTTGCCTTCTTTCAAGAGCCAAAAAAAAAAAATTCCCTTCGAGGCCATACATTCAGCGAGCTTGCGTGCGCTCTCTCTCAAGACAGTGCTACTGCTCGCGCTGCCTCTGTTAAATGAGTGGGGGACCTGCAGGCGCTGTCAGTTGACGACTCGTGTATTGAGTTCGGGCCAGGTGATTGCAGACTCAACTTAAAGCCTAGGAAGGGTTATGTGCCTAAAGTGCTTTCGACTCCATCTAAAGCGCAGGTCATAACACTATCTGCTTTCCGTCCCGAAATACTGGCCGGGCCGGAGCCGCTTAATACACTTTTGCTGTGCCCTGTACGTGCGGTGCGCATTTATATCGAGCGCTATAGACAGTTCAGGCTCTCGGACCAGCTATGTGTATGCTTTGGAGAGCGCACAAAAGGCCTGCCTGTGTCCAAGCAAAGGCTGTCACACTTTTGCTTTGGCTTATCATGGCTCTAAGGGCGTGAGATGTCCTATAGGGGTTCAGGCCCACTCAACCCGCGGACTCGGGCAAATGGCATATCTATTCAGGACATTTGCATGGCGGCAGGCAGGTCGTCACTCAGCACTTTTGCGAGGTTTTATAACCTAAATGTGTCGTCACTTGCCTCACATGTGCCGCGCCCCCCTTGACTTTTACATGGTTTCGACAAGGTCTTGTAGACCTGAGCTGTTTAACAAGAGTGCCAATATCATTGCCGCTCTCATTACGTTTCCGTATGTGAAACTTGACATACTTAGTCGAGCCAGGCTCCATCGCTGTGACACCGCGGGATTTTATACATTCCCATAGCAATGTAGAGTGACCGAATCGAAAGGGAACACTCTTGGTTACTCACGTAACCTCGGTTCCCTGAGATGAGGGAACGAGACATTGCACTTACTGCCATGTCACCTAGCTCAGGATCTTAGAATGCCAAGTTGCTTCAGTCAAGATTCTGAATAGATGACGTACAAGTGCTGCTTTATATAGAGTGGGTGACCCTCATATTTTGCGCGCTTGAACGCCATTGGCCAGTTTCACTGGCGTGATTCAATAAGGCTTCAGTAGTATTTAGAGGAAAGGGTAATTCCCATAGCAATGTCTTCCCTCATCTCAGGGAACCGAGGTTACGTGAGTAGTGCATAATCTGGCAGGGTGCAAATTTCGGCACTACACCGGCAGATTCTACGAAGGAGCGTCTGGAGGGCTTGCAGCAACCACATGTGTCGACCCCGGGCTGGACTCCGCTTCGTTCACGGTGAAAGCCGATCCGGCGATCCACAGCACAAGAGCTTGTAACACTCAAAAGAGAAAGGAAAAATTGAAATCGCATCATATGACCCCTTTAATTAATGTTAACAACTTGAACATTTTCCAGTATTACCATTACCATCTATAAATTGTACAAAATATGAACAAACATTTTTTTATTTTTATTTTATGTGATATGGTGGAAGTTATGCTTGACAAATCTTGTCAAGCATGAATAAAAAGTAATTATAAATGTTAAATCAAAGTAGACCTCGCCAACATTTGAACATGGATCATAGATGTCACTTCCTCTTCATTTCACAGTTCACTATTATTTTGAGGTAATAATTTACTTTTAAAAGTTATTTTTTTTATATACACAAACGTGATTACACATTTTATCATGGCAAAATTTGAATTTTAATAAATTTTTTTGTTTAAACATTTGTATTATATTATTCTGGCAGGGCATTACACATGCCCTGATTCATTGATTCAGAGATCCTTTGAGGCTTTTCAAGCTTAGTTGCAGTCTTTTAGGCCTACAGCATTACCTAAAGTGATTTGGAGAATATGCCCTCCTATAATGCCCACTTTCTGACTGTTTTAATTATTTTTATATTAATATATATTTAAAAGATTAAATTATAAAATATTATAAACATTTTCAAATTTATATATTATTTATATTTTATATTTTTAATTATATTAATTTTTATTGTTTTTAGCACCTTTTGATATTACAACAAGAACAGTCATATCCACCTTATTTGCAACGTGGAAGTACTTTCTTTGAATGTACGAGACTTCCGATTAATTGGTAAATAAAGAATAACAAAGTGCCGTAAACGGTAAAACTATTTGCACTACAAACAAGTGCTTTTATGATTGTCATAATAAATCAAAATGATATGATAACAAAAACCAGTGTGCTATATAAAGAAGCAAAAATGAAAGTGAAAGCCTCGTACAATCAAGTTACAAATGGCTAAAATTATGGTAAAAAAAGGGTGGATATCTCTATCTTTTTCCTCACTCTTATCAGTTATGCTGCATGTAGTAGTCTGAGCACATAATGATGCTGTATTTATAACTCACCTTCACGCTCTGTCAGTGAGCTTCTTATAAAACAGTGCTGCCCCATTCAGGTAAAGGCAAAATACTAATTAAACAGGGAAGCTTTATTTCACACTAACACTTTTCATTCATTGACTG